AATGTGGCTACCGCGGCAAATTATGGCAGACCACTAATATAAATATATTTAAGTAATATGTCTGGTACAATAAGTTGACTGATGAGCCCTGGTAATCAGAGGCTATCATTACTGTTCACTGAATATATGAATGTTGAATCCAGCGCAGCGAAATGTGTCAGTCTGCCAATGTCCAACTTTTACATCTACATTATGTTCTCAAGTTGTCTCCTACCTCGGTACCATTACCGGGAATAAGCTGAAATATAAACTTAAAAGCAGAATTTACTTCAATTCAGAACAAATAACATCTGTCTGTTGTTGTAGACTGTATGTTGACCTCTAAATGTCTTTGGTTGTCATTTGGTTACTTTTTAAATTTGTTTATTGTTGTAGACTTTTTGTTTACCTCTAAATGTCTTTGTATGTCATTTGGTTGCTATAGCCATTTCTCTATTGTTGTAGACTGATTGTTGACCTCTAAATATTTTGTATGTCAATTGGTTGCTATAGACATATGTCTGTTATTGTAGACTGTGTGTTGACTTCTAAATGTCTTTGTATGTCATTTGGTTGCTATAGACATCTGTCTATTGTTGTAGATTGTATGTTGACCTCTATATGTCTTTGTATGTCATTTGGTTGCTATAGACATTTGTCTATTGTTGTAGACTGTATGTTGACCTCTTTATGTCTGTGTATGTCATTTGGTTGCTATAGACATCTGTCAATTGTTGTTGACTGTTTGATGACCTCTAAATGTCTTTGTATGTCATTTGGTTGCTATAGACATCTGTCAATTGTTGTAGATTGTATGATGACCTCTAAATGTCTTTGTATGTCATTTGGTTGCTATAGACATCTGTCTATTGTTGTAGACTGTATGTTGATCTCTAAATGTCTTTGTATGTCATTTGGTTGCTATAGACATTTGTCTACTGTTGTAGACTGTATGTTGACCTCAAAATGTCTTTGTATGTCATTTGGTTTCTGTAGACATCTGTCTGTTGTTGTAGACTGTATGTTGACGTCTAAATGTCTTTGTATGCGATTTGGTTGCTATAGACATTTGTCTATTGTTGTAGACTGTATGTTGACCTCTAAATATTTTGTATGTCATTTGGTTGCTATATACATCTGTCTATTGTTGTTGACTGTATGTTGACCTCTAAATGTCTTTGTATGTCATTTGGTTGCTATCGACATCTGTCTATTGTTGTTGACTGTATGTTGACCTCTAGATGTCTTTGTATGTTATTTGGTTGCTATAGACATTTGTCTATTGTTGTAGACTGTATGTTGATCTCTAAATGTCTTTGTATGTTATTTGGTTGCTATCGACATCTGTCTATTGTTGTTGACTGTATGTTGACCTCTAAATGTCTTTGTATGTTATTTGGTTGCTATAGACATTTGTCTATTGTTGTAGACTGTATGTTGACCTCTAAATGTCTTTGTATGTTATTTGGTTGCTATAGACATTTGTCTATTGTTGTAGACTGTATGTTGATCTCTAAATGTCTTTGTATGTTATTTGGTTGCTATAGACATTTGTCTATTGTTGTAGACTGTATGTTGATCTCTAAATGTCTTTGTATGTCATTTGGTTGCTATAGACAAATGTCTATAGTTGTAGACTGTATGTTGACCTCTAAATGTCTTTGTATGCGATTTGGTTGCTGCGTCATTCCTCATATCTCCCTTTTATTCTTATCAATATTGTATCGGATTTCCTTCCCAATGTTCACCGAGTGCAGAAAACATTACATTTACTGTATTATATTGGTCTTGAATCTTTTTTAGTTGTAAAAGTAATTTCGGTGCGAAGTATAAATACAGTAGCCGCAAATCATAGTCATTTTGATAACAATGAGTTCAAATGATGCTTAACTATATCATCTGAACAGACAATAAACCACTGAAAAAAGTGAAGTAACAAAAATACCGAACTCGAAGGAAAATTCAAAACGGAAAGAAACTTATCAAATAGCAAAATTAAAAGCTCAAACACATCAGACGAATGGAAAACAACGGTCACTTTCCTGACTTGGTACAGGCATTTCCTTATGTAGAAAATGGTGGATTAAATCTGATTGTATTGCTAGCTAAACCTCTCACTTGTATGACAGTCGCATAAAATTCCATTATATTGAATGTACCAGTTTAGTCAAAATTCCTGTTATTTTGGTAGGACTAATCTGTCTACTAACATGTGTTTATTTCAGGTATGTAAATGTGCATGCGTAGATTTACAGAATGACGTTTATAAATTTGTAAAACGACAAAAAAGTAATAACATTTATAGTTAAAGATTTTCTTATAATTTTACGATTATTCTATTTCTCTTTGCAAATTTCAACTTTATTTTCTCAAAGTTAAGTTAGTTACCTTTATAAGGGACTTACCTTCTTAAGGAACTTCTAATGAACGCTCGAAACCGAATCTTTTACTATAAATGTAGTGCTATCACATGGAACTGAATGGTTTATAGCATTTGCATATGACGACAATGTTATCAGACAAATATACCAAGCAGTTTCATATGATGACTATGTAATCAGACAAATATACCAAGCAGTTTCATATGATGACTATGTAATCAGACAAATATACCTAGCAGTTTCATATGATGACTATGTAATCAGACAAATATACCAAGCAGTTTCATATGATGACTATGTAATCAGACAAATATACCTAGCAGTTTCATATGATGACTATGTAATCAGACAAATATACCAAGTAGTTTCATATGATGCCTATGTAATCAGACAAATATACCAAGCAGTTTCATATGATGACTATGTAATCAGACAAATATACCTAGCAGTTTCATATGATGACTATGTAATCAGACAAACATACCAATTATTTTCATATGATGACTATGTAATCATCAAATATACCAAGCAGTTTCATATGATGACTATGTAATCAGACAAATATACCAAGCAGTTTCATATGATGACTATGTAATCAGACAAATATACCAAGCAGTTTCATATGATGACTAAGCAATCAGACAAATATGCTTTGCATTTAGATATACATATGATAACATTGTAATCAAACAAAATACCAAGCAGTTCCATGTTATAGCACTATAATCAAAGAAAAATACCTGGCAGTTGCATATGATAACAATGTAAACATACAAATGACAAATGTACCAAGCATTAACATAGTTTTTCTATCAAGGATTAGTTTTCATTACCATACATCAAAACTTCAGATACAAATGTCGATAGAAGTTTAAAATTAAAACTGCATAACATTTTAGATTTTGTTAATGCCAATGGTACTGGAAAGTTTGATGATATGGATAAGGTTAGTCAAGAATCACACATTTTTTTTATTTTAAACTTAATGATAAAATATCAAGAATTGTTTTCTGAACTTTAGAATTTATATCATACATGTAAACCAATTGTTTGAGTTCCGGAGTTATAATATATATTGCCATTTTGGTTAAGGATGCATATTTTTTTTTATAAATACATGTAAAATGTGCCATTTTGTTTTCAACAGCAGTATAGAGCGCTGAATATTATTTTTGAAAGCATAGATATATTTATAGAATTGTTGAATCTTTTCTTAAGTTCATAATATAGATTCTTTGATATGCAAATTCAATAGAGTTGCAATACAAAACCCATTTTTTTGTTTATCAATTTATCAATAAAGAGACGTGATGTTATTGTCATTCAGTCAATTTATCAATAAAGAGACTTGATGTTATTGTCATTCAGTCAATTTATCAATAAAGAGACGTGGTGTTATTGTCATTCAGTCAAGTTATCAATAAAGAGACGTGGTGTTATTGTCATTCAGTCAATTTATCAATAAAGAGACGTGGTGTTATTGTCATTCAGTCAATTTATCAATAAAGAGACGTGGTGTTATTGTCATTCAGTCATCTTATCAATAAAGAGACGTGGTGTTATTGTCATTCAGTCAATTTATCAATAAAGAGACGTGGTGTTATTGTCATTCAGTCATCTTATCAATAAAGAGACGTGGTGTTATTGTCATTCAGTCAAGTTATCAATAAAGAGACGTGGTGTTATTGTCATTCAGTCAAGTTATCAATAAAAAGACGTGGTGTTATTGTCATTCAGTCAAGTTATCAATAAAGAGACGTGGTGTTATTGTCATTCAGTCATCTTATCAATAAAGAGACGTGGTGTTATTGTCATTCAGTCATCTTATCAATAAAGAGACGTGGTGTTATTGTCATTCAGTCAAGTTATCAATAAAGAGACGTGGTGTTATTGTCATTCAGTCAAGTTATCAATAAAGAAACGTGGTGTTATTGTCATTCAGTCATCTTATCAATAAAAAGACGTGGTGTTATTGTCATTCAGTCAAGTTATCAATAAAGAGACGTGGTGTTATTGTCATTCAGTCATCTTATCAATAAAGAGACGTGGTGTTATTGTCATTCAGTCAATAAATAAAGAGACGTGATGTTATTGTCATTCAGTCAATTTATCAATAAAGACGTAAGGACAAAGATGTAAAGAACTAAAAATAAATGTTTAACAGGGTACCGGACAGCCTTCAACAATGAGCAAAACTTACACTCGATATTACCCCCTTGTATCTTTTATACAAGGCCTCTGATAACAAAATATGAGGCATTTTAAAGGAGAGAAATAATGACCTGGTTGACAAAGCTAATTATGAAAGGAAAAACAATTATTGTCAGCAAACAACGAAACACCAGTGGACCATACAGAATATGACGAGGTTAAACATGTTTGTTAGTCTATTTTGGCATATATTTCACATGAGAAAATCAATCTGCTTAAATTTCCTAGGTATGGTGACCTAAATTGAATTAAAAGGAACACCTAGTTTTCTGTTAGTACTTTATATATCTGACCTTATCAATAAGTACGAGTACAATTACGACTAACACATTGAAATATTGTGTAGATTGTAATAATTATCTCTTACGTTTGTCAACATTATCTTATGATCCTGTCACATGAAATACCTGGACTGACGAAAATGGACAGTTCATATCAAATGTATGGAAATAGAAGCATGTAGCAGCTCGGTGAAGGTTCCATTGTCAATAGTTTTTTGTCAGGTGTTTGACCATTCTTATCAAGTTTATTTAGATCTTTAAGTAGGTAGGTGAGATGCAAGAAAACCTTTTGTATGTAACCGATAATACACTTCCCCTAATTTAGATATTGATTTTCAGAATGTTTGTTTGCCAAGTGAATCTATATATTTGTATGTACATTGAATGATTTATTTACAGCTGAATGTTTTAGTCAATCTTCTCCTGTATCGGCAGCCAAACTAACCAACTGTTCTGGAAGCACACAATATTGTGTAACTTATTTACATAACTATGTTAATGGCTACAGGGAAACTACTAAAGGGTAAGTATCATGTTATGTAAAGCTACATGGAAACTACTAAAGGGTAAGTATCATGTTATGTAAAGCTACAAGGAAACTACTAAAGGGTAAGTATCATGTTATGTAAAGCTACAAGGAAACTACTAAAGGGTAAGTATCATGTTATGTAAAGCTACAAGGAAACTACTAAAGGGTAAGTATCATGTTATGTAAAGCTACAAGGAAACTACTAAAGGGTAAGTGTCATGTTATGTAAAGCTACAAGGAAACTACTAAAGGGTAAGTCTCGTGTTATGTAAAGCTATAGGGAAATTTATAAAGGGTAAGTCTCATGCTATTTATACTATTTTCCTGAACACTTTTTGCAACTTGTGAATAAAAATACAGGATCAATTTAAACGGTATCCTTATTGCATAGCTAATATTTCATAAATATGATACAACTCCGTTTTAAAAACTAACTGGGTTTTTTTTCAGTGTTAATACAAATGTTTTACACTTAGAAAAACGTAACACTCTTTGCGAAACAGGAAATATGTGTTATATGTCGTTATTTCAGCAACCCACACAACACACATAAACAAGAGACACCAAAGTCAACATACAGTTTTCAATAAAAGAAATGTGTCTATGCAATATGGAAAGCCATAAATGGCACCTAGTCTTAAAAGTTATGAAATAATAAAACAGCAAACTATCAAAGATCTGCTTTTAACACCAAATTCTCCAAATAACCTCCAAAAAAAATTGGAAACCACTAACAAGGTTCTAGACTTGGGATAAGCACGTATAGCGGAGTTAAACTATTTTTTAAGAGATAACATCACTCCACTTTAAATGGAACAATGAACATACAGATGATAATTAAAGGACATGCTTTAAAAAGCAATACAATACGGGAAAACACTTTACTCTATAACAACGGTATACAATACGGGAAAACACTTTACTCTATAACAACGGTATACCAGAGGGGAAAACATAAATACAAACAAACCAGCAATATATAATAACATATAAAAGATTTTTCTCAGTTATTGAAAGTTATTCCAAAGCATTTTACCTGCTGATGTATATAGTCATAACGTATATCGGAGACTGTAAACAACAGTAGACTTCTTCCAGCAATATTATATACCTTACAGGAAGACACGATCTTTTGATAATGGCTTTTTGTAAACTTCATTCATAATATTTCCATTATGTTAGTGTAACAGTTAGTTATACTTGACTTTTAGGGTTAAAAAAGATTAAAAAATCTAGACAGGTTTGTTAACCATTTTGTTTCTTGACTATTTTCTTCTTATACTCATGCTTATAGATGTGCCAGCGCTAATGAGTGTCAGACGTCTTTAATAAATACAGCAAGTGGTCAGTGTAGTGTATTTAGCGAAGATCAACTTTACACGTCTGACTTTAAATGTACTTACTGTTGTACCAAAGACAAATGTAATGGAAGAATAGTTCCTCCACACGAGACTATGTACACGGGACACGTAACCTTACCTACACCGACTAATACAACTACAAGTAATAACTTTTTATTTTATTTCATATAAAACAGGTATTGTTTTATTATATACTATTAATCGTTTTTCTTTACGCAATTTCACTTGGATGACCCATGCTTTCTTTATTCAAATCGTCGGGTATGTTCAGTTCCGTGTCAGTGGAATTGAATCTAAATTGTTTTAGCATGCCGATAATACATTGGATTTGTGTATGTTTTTCGAAGTCTAGGACATCTGCACTGTAGAAAAAAAAACAATATTCTAAAGTTATCAGCGATAAAAAAAAAGAAATGAAAAAGATGATTACTGAAGAAAATAGTATATCTTTTGAATAAAAATAACACTTTATGAACTTGGTGCGTTTGGAGCGCTTTTCTGGATTTGTCGTCATCAAGCATACTCAAGTCCATACATTTGAAAGCCAGGGATGTATAAATGCGTAGAAACGTTAGGGCCCAAAAGACACCTAAAAGAATGAACAAATTCATCCAATTATTAGATGTGGGATGATTGCCAATGAAACGATTTTCCACCATAGACCAAATGATGTTGATGTTAGCAACTTTGCCCTAGGGAGTTGGAACCTTAATTTCTTAATAACTTCTAAATTATCAACGGGGAATTTTAGAGAAAAAATTATGTTATAAGTCATGTCAGTACCGATAAAACTGACTACCGAGCTGATGATACTCTCGGGGAGTAACGGTCTTCTGTAAGAAGAAATAAAACTTTCACTTCATTACGTAGTGTATTATATACTAATTTACTGTTATTTTTTGTATAATGTATATTATCATGTCGCTTGTGTTGTATTTCTCCATTTAAAAAGTATTTGAAATAGTGGACTACTTATTTTTAACAGCTGAGTGTTTAATCAAGCCATCACCATCATCACAGGAAATATTAAAGGACTGTTCCGGTTCGACACCCTACTGTATCACACATTTTGCTAACTACAACAACGGGTACAGGGAGACGACCAAAGGGTATGTTATTTTCATAAAATTCAATTGTATTTATAGCATAGTTAAACTCGCTGCAATACATCAAACTTATTTTTTTTATAAACATTTTTTTTTCTCTCAAAAGAATGAACATTATAGAAAAGCAACTTCATAAAAAGACTAGTGGGTGTGTTTTTTATTATCATTTTATTCGCTATAACTGGTATATAGCAAATGATAAATAAACAAAATATTAACAAACATAGATATGAAGTACACAATTTCTGCTCAGCATTATCTTGATTGATTGATTGTTGGTGTTTATCACTTATATTACTCTTGGATATATCGTCGGTTGCAGTTTTTATTGGCGGAGGAAGCTGGAGTGCCTGGAGAGAACAACCGACCTTCGGCAGGAAGAATGTTATTGACAACTTGAACATTTAAAAGAAACTGCAATAGTCCTGACGTGGTACAGGCACTTTTAAATGAAAGTTACGGACAAAATAGTTAAATGGCAGGAAGAAATTCAAGCTTATAAGACAGCTATTCCTCGCTCCAAATTAGTAGCTTCAATAAAAAATAAACTTGGCATCTGATTGACATAATTGGCCAGTCATTTATTTACGTCGTCTGCAACGCAAGCTTTGCGGAAATAAAAGGACGAGTTCTTTCACTCCGAACACATCAGTTCCATATTGTTTCTAGTGAAATTAATCACCATAATACGCATATGAACCAATGCTGGACTAGGTATTGCCATTATATAAAAATAAGAAGATGTGGTATGATTGCCAATGAGACAACTCTCCACAAGAGATCAACTGACACAGAAATTAACAACTATAGGTCATCGTACGGCCTTCAACAATGAGTAAAACCCATACCGCATAGTGAGCTATAAAAGGCCCCGAAATGGCAAATGTAAAACAATTCAAACGAGAAAACTAACGGCCTGATTTATGTACAAAATAATGAACGAAAAACAAATATGATATACAGCAACAAACGACAATGTTCATTTATATGATAATTTATTCAATTACAGGTGTGCAAGTGGGGCAACTTGCGATGCAACAAAAACCGGCAACAAAAAGTTTAATGACCAGTGTACTTACTACGACGAGAATTTTTTATACAAGTCCGATTTTACATGTTCATACTGCTGTACGAAAGATATATGTAATACTGGTATATTGCCTCCTCATGAAACACTTTATCAACCTTAATAGAGTAAGCGTTAATACGGGACTTATTTAAATAAGTAAATAAAAGAAAAACACTTCATATATTTTTATTAGAATAAACGAAATGAATTGAAATTTGTAGATATTAGTTTTTAACAAGCGATTTGCATTTCTACGCGACACAATCTGTGCAACGCTCACTGCACGTGTAGGTTTGTTTATTTATTCCTAAACATTAGAATAAATATATTAATGAAACATTTAAGTGAAGAAAATGAATATAAAGAAGCCTAGTCTTTTGATTTCAGGTATCGCTATAAAAAATTTGATTTACAAATTTTTGCACCTCATGTTTGCGGTATATCATCTTTTCCGCAAGTTTATTGTTTTCTGTTTGGTATTAAATTAATAATTAAGATCCATTTTGTTACATCTGGTGATCCGTTTATTTGGCAATCGCCATGGCAGTCAGCAGGGTTTAAGAACATCCGTTGTTCGACCTGCTAGTCAAATGCGTTTTGTTAAAATATACTTTTTCACTTTTTTGGTCTTTTGGAAAATTTTGTTTGTGCTGTATTTAGACCCCTCTACCAAGAAATTTGTTTTGCATGCACACGTATAAAAATTGCTGTTTTTATGTAAATCTACATTTCATATGTTCGAGTAAGCTAGAAATTACGGACACATCAATCTTTTTTCAGGTTGACTTAATACCTATCTATAGACAATCATATAACTATCAAAGTTTCCTTGTCCCCTACAACACTTGTGTATGGTTATACATAATTATCTTTGGTTTTTATTGGTCGGCAGAGTAACTGTCACTTAAATGTCTTACCAATAATATCAAACCTAAATCCAACTCATAATAACAAAAGTCAAAATTTAGAAAAAAACACCTGTATTGGCTTTCTCCATCTCGGTATTTTCTTGGATGTTTACAATGAAATATGTTCATTCCTCAACCCGTTTAAACGTACCTGATAAATGATATTCCAGAAAAACGTTCTATTTCCGCTGAGTTTTTATGCAAATATATATGTTTCTGTTTTTTATTTTATCAACACGAAAAAAATTGTTTTTTCTATGAAAATTGTATTATTGTGAACATTGTTCTGTCATAATGCGTATGTTTTGGCTGATACTGATGTCTTCTAATTTAATCTTTGACGCCAATCCCGGTGTAGTAAGGTACAGATATATATTAGACTTGAAACATGAAGCTAAAAACTGGATAGTTATTACAAAAATAAGTAACACAGTCTTGTTATATATTTTCAGTGGTTACACCCTTTTAAAAAGTGTGAAATGTATCCCGTAGTAACAATTTCAATGTAGCACAAGTGGAGAACTTTAAGTTTTATTTTTTTTTTTCTGCTAACATTATGCCTTCAGAAAGATACATGTATTTTTTTTTAATTCTGTATAAAAGTGTTTCCGATATTTTTTCCCCTTATATATTTAATCATGTAATAAATTCATTGCAATTGAATCTATTTCGAATGACGTGATATTAATCTACTGGCTATGAGCACAGCTATTTTAACAGTGTTTTCTTTGTAAAATTCAAATTGAACTAAAAATAATATTGAACCGGCGCAAACATGAAATACGTTCATCTGCTTACACACCGTCAGAAAAATCCCCAGCTGCTTCCCCACGTGAGAGTCCTGTATACATCTAACGGATAGAATTTGAGTCTGAAGTCAATGCCGAACATAAAACCACTGAAATAGTATAGTTTTGAAAAACAAAAGGTCACTAAACGAAACTGCAAGTAACAGCAAGGAACACTGCTTTTATTTTGATCTAGTAAGAATACTAAGGATGAAATACCTGAGATAATACGTTGAACTATATTTCGTAAATGGTATAAAGTTGTATAAAGACATATAATTGATAAATATAGAAACTAAGATTCCAACTCTCTAAGGCATATGCTGATCTTTGGTAAATTTTTGGTTCAATTTGGTCATGTCGCTCCTCAAGTATTCCAGTATTTAAACCTCATTTGGCTTTATATTGTTGGGTTTGAGCTTTCCAGAGGAAGGTAATTCCATAAAAACACTTCGAACGCACCTAATTTACAAACTGTTATGTTCTAACGAATGGCCTCTTCATAAACTACAGAAGATACTAGAGGGATATTCAAACTCATAAGTCGATGACAAATCGGCAACGCCATGACAGAAAAGAAAAGAAAACGACAAGAAGACGAAAAACAGTAGACAAAACACAACAAAGAAAACTAAAGTATAAACAAAACAAACACCACAAAAAAACGGGGGTAATCATAATTTCTCCGGAAAGGTATGCAGATCCTGCACCTCATGTAGATACAAACTCGGTGACATGTTTGATTCGGTGAAGTCTCTTTCGAGAAAAAGAGGACGGGATTGTGGCTACGATAGTTGAAACATATTTGTCGTCATCTGGAAAACATATATTCCATAACGGTTAACCAACTCGTAATGACGTCCGTCAGAATTTGAAAAGATTACTTCGATATGTCAAATTTGGAAAAGATTACTTCGATGTAGTCACTTGGAACCATTGGTTTAATAGCTTCCCTAAAAGTAGGAACCCTCTATAAAAAAAAATCAGAGCTTACATTTTCTATCATATCAGCTGGGAGACATATAATCCATATGTTGCAACATAGAGATGGAAAATTCACAATTGGGAAGCTGAAATCATATTTTTTCGTCATAAAGGTTGTTTTTAATCGACCCTAATAGTCAATTTCTAATCAACTTCTTCCATTTTCTTGATAATCAAGTTTGTTAAAAAAAAAGAACAGAATAAACTAGTATTTTTGATGGAATAAAGGCCCGTTTTGTTTAAGAGGGTTGGACAGTGATAAGAGAACCTGCGAGTGAGGAGACTTGAACCGGGAGAAAAAGGAGAGTAAAAAAAGATATGATTGAAAAGTTTCTTTGATCGTTATTCATCAAGGAGAAAAGAAGGGAATTGGAAGTAGATGGAGGGAAGGAGGAACGTGAATCAGAGACCCCTATGTCCACCCTTCTTTGAAATGTGGTATAGAAATTGTTTGTTCTTCGTCTGTATTTCAAGCACAGCACTGTTTGATATAAAAATTAGTGGTAGCATATACTTGTTTAGGGGCCAGCTGAAACCCGCCTCCGGGTGCGGGATTTTCTCGATGTGTTGAAGACCCATTGGTGGCCTTGGGCTGTTTTTTGCTCTTTGGTCGGGTTGTTGTCTCTTTGAAACATTCTCTGTTTCCATTCTCAATTTCATGTATGTGTTTATGCATATACATGTACATTTTCAATTGGAAAGCTCAGAGTTACGCATCTGCTAACACAACTAATTACATGCTCTTTGTCGGGAGTTTACTGCAACAATGATGGTTTAATAATGCGGCAGAAAAGTTTTATCCTTTCCTCAGCAGTATTAGACTTTTCGCGTCTGTGACATTGTGGCAACTCCGCATGCACTGTCAATATCCATTGCATAGACAACTTGGCCATCTTGGCTATATAAAATATTCCATTCATTGGTGGAGTTATGTTTTTACTTGTCGGCTTCATCTAGTTTTGTAACACAGTACATGATGAATTGTGGAACGTAGATAAAATATCTTGCAGATTAGCTGTTTTTGTCGGTATAAAAGATGACAAAAATTACCATGGAGTCACATAAATATGTGTTGCAGTTGTTTCCTTTATCTTGTTGATATTACCTCACGTAATGAATGTGTGTTCACCAATGCGCATATGCAGGATTGCCGACATCTAGCAAAGTTTTCCACTAACGCCGAACTAGGGTCGTCTTGAACTTGCAGTGAAATGTGACCTTTTGCCTCATGTTGAAGAATTCACTATGACTTTGAGATAAAGAAAAGCGATAAAAGCACTGATCCCAGCTTTTAGTTTCATAAGGACTTTTTGTTATGAATTAATACACCTTATGCCTTATTTTCCTTTAAAAGAGAATACCGAAAACAGCGACAATTCTGAGAGTTCAACATCGTCTCAGGAAATTGTATCCCGAGTTTTAGAACCATTATATAATTTACAAACTTAATCTAACATCTTCAGAATTCTGAACTTTAACAACAAATAAGCCTTTCCGATATATGAAATGAAGACTTTCCATATTATTCACATTTTCAAGGGGCATACCCCACCCACCCAATATTCGACAAGTGATGATTTTCGAAAATTTCCGCGAGTATTTCTGATGTAAACCTTTGAAATAAACTTTGTTAAACCCCATTGAGAAATGCTTCAGCTCTTACAATGTTAACAGACGTACTAGTATTTAGAATTCGATGTGCAATAGTCCAGGCCTCACCTTGCACCAAGGGACAAAAAAGCGAACATACAAAAACTTGTCCACAAAAAGAGCACAGGGAAACTTAAAATTGAGTAACAAGAACCCAACCAAAAAACTTTATGTGTTCCGGAAGTGAAAGCATTCATTTTCCCCTATATTCCAAGTAGCAACTTTCTATCATGAAGGGAACTGCACTGGAATATCGTATCAACTGTAAGATATATTATACTCCATACGCAAGTGTTCCTGTAATGGTCCGAGTACACAGTTATTTCGTAGTGCATTTCTTTTAGACAATAAATGAAAATAAAAAAAATCCCACCTGCGCTTTCTCAATAATATTTTTACAGTGTGTTGTACTACTTTTGGGACAAATTATATCAAAATTATAGAAAACTTCATCGGCTCTAACTCAAAATATGGACAATTCTATGTTAAGGGGGTCTTGAAATCTTTTGACAGCTTCCGAAGTGCTAATTTTTAACCTTTTTCAGCTGGACCAAATCACTACTTTACTTTACAATTCATGACCCAAATTTTTTTACAGTGTAATTTCATCCCCCTACTTGCTATTTGAGGCATAAAACATGAAGGAATACATTTGGAAGGGGTACTAAAAAAATTGGCAAGCAACACACTGTCCACACTAGGGACTTTATTCGTGGACAACGAAAATCAAAGGACGATAACTGTGTACTCGGACCTAATGTTACTTCATGAAAATATAAAGTTCACAAAAGGAAAATTTAAATCATATCGTTTGTCGTAAAATTTAAAATTCTGTGTTAAATGGACTTTCATTAAAATTTCTAGACGTCGAGATACGAAAGCATACCTAATGCCTGCATATGAAGTATAAATCTATCAGTTGGTATGATATTCCAGAGCTTGCATATCCTATCATGATTTCCTTGTTAGAGGATTGCTGATTGCAAGTAAGCTTTTAAACCAAGGGTTCCAAGTGGTGAAATCGAAGACATCTTCTTTAGTTTTATATATATTTTGTAGACTGTCTTTTGGTCTTTTTCCGTTTCTTTGCAATGGCGTTGTCAGCTTTAATATTACTTCGGTATAGTCCGCTTTTTATTTTTTAACAGAAGAATTATTTGCAAAATGAAGGGAAAAATAACAATGGTTCTTATTGCTTGCTGTTTCTATGGTAACTCATTTTCAATCAAATGTCAGATAGTTTTTATTGCATTCTTTACATTGTTTAGAGATTGTTTATGGCCTGATAGTAGTTAATGGATTGCATCGTTGCGGATGCTTGTGTACAACATGATTATTACAATTGCTATGTCTACAACACTCAAAATATTCTATCGTATCCATTGCCATCACTGCTTTTCCATTGTTGTGGATGGCCGAACGGTAATGGTGACAGTCCTGAAAAAGAAAAACCAGTTATCTAATACGATTATTATAAAATATCATATAAAAGCGTTTGTAGGAAATGACATACAAAACGTTTGGTTTATATTCTTACATCCAACACGCTCACCAGAAAGAGTTGATTCGACTGTCCTTCTAAATATCTTTGTCAACTAAACCAACAAAATAGGATATATTAGAACCACATTCTTTGTTTGTTTTAAGACGACTATAGTTGTTCACGATTGCAGGCCTTGAAATAATCTTTCGATATTCAAACTTCTTTCAGCAGTGACTTCTTGTCCAACCCCGTAGATTTGTTTTAATTGTTTATATAACAGATATTCTTCATGATTGCAGATTCTTTTTAAACTGTCATAATTATTGTTTGAAGGGGTGCTCCACATTTTGTAGTGAATTAGGACTCTGTAGAAAGTATTTGTAACAATTTTACTATGACTTTAAAAATAATTGGCAATATGATTGGATGTGTTGGGATTATTAACCAAGTGCATAGGTTGGCAGTGCATAATTTCTCCATGTTGCAACATCTTATTTGCAATTATTCATATAAAGTATATTCAATGCAGTGCTTCAAGTTTTGATAGCAATGATAAAAACAACTTTAACGTCCTTATTTCCATAAAGCTACGATAGCCACATCTCAAGGTAAAGCAGAAATCTCCTTTTATTTATATAACAGTCTAGGTGACGACATGTTTACAAATTTATTCAAATGGGTAATGTTTATTCTTTTTTTTCATATTCCGGATTCTTAGAGATTTTTTTATTATTTCCTAATCATATGTTTTTTTTTTGTTTTTTTTATTTTACTTTTTTATCGCTTTTGTTTGGGGGAGGGCTATTTTGTTCATTTTCTTGTTTATAAAAATAAGAAAATGTTGTATAATTGCCAATCAGACAACTATCCACCAGAGACCAAATGACAGAATTTAACAACTATAGGTCACCATACGGCCTTCAACAATGAGCAGAACCCATATCGCATAGTCAGCTAAAAAAGGCCCCGAAATGACAAATGTAAAACTATTCAAACGAGAAAACTAATGGCCTGATTTATATTTAAAAAATGAACAAACCACTGAATTACAGGCTCCTGACAGACACATACAGAATGCGGCGGGGTTAAACATTTTATCGGGCCCCCAACCCTCCCCTTATCTGGGACAGTGGTGTTATAGTAAAATATGAACAAACTATGAAAATAAGTTGAAAAGGGCTTAACTCATGTTTGTTTGTTTGATTGATACGAGTTTTTGTTTTATTTTGTTTTCAATTTTTGAATGAACAGTTTTTATGAAATTAAAGAGATCAAATATCAAAGATTCCCATATTTTACAGCTAACATATTGTTAATCGATCCTGTAGTCGGACCTATAGTTCCAAAGTTTAAAAACCAATTGATTCATAAGAGGAACTTACGGTTTTTGTCATACAACCCATCTTGTAGAAACAGAGATTGTCGTTATCAGCTCCGCCATCTACTCTACTCAAATAACATTGCTGAAGTGGAAATTTTTATTCATTACATTTCTCTTGTTTCATTAATTTCTACTATATTTATAATGTTGAAAACCTTAATGTTTCTTTCTCAAAAGATGGAAATACTGTGTTGTATGGCAGAACTCTACATTTTTCAGTGGATTCCATCGAGTCTGTCATGTAATTGAAAAATGTTGACACTATAATGTCATGTAAACAACTATAAGTCACCGTACAGCCTTCAACAATGAGCAAACCCCGTACCCTTTAGTAAGCTAGAAAAGGGCCCGGGATAGCAAAATGTGAAACAATTCAAAAGACAAACTATGTTTGACTTTCTGAAGTAATTTAACCGTAACATAAGTCAAGTAGTGTCGTAAAGAAAATTGGAAAGATTTGAGCAAATGTAGGCTTATTTGGCACAATTGGCCTATAGAATATCAGATAATCTCAAATATACACTTCCGGTGTAATTTTGGTTTTGGTCGATAGTTTACTTATGTCACGTATCTATAATTTTAATTTAAACGGATTTTCCAATTGTATATTTTACCAATCTAACTGTATATGTACTTGGGTGTACTACTTACATCTTCACCTAGATTACATTTTGTAGTATGGTTACATTCCTTCTCATGGCTGCTGTATTCACAATAATAACAATTAAGCGCTGCTGGTTCTACAAACAAAATTGTATAGAACTAAGTCCATTATAAATAACCCCTGATGGGTTAAATCTTTAGTTCTGTGATTTTTTTTTCATACTGAATTTGAAAAAAATGCTTTATATCTGTACATTAAGAGCTTAACTAAATTTGAAATTTGTTTGGTGGATACGGATTATAATTAAAATGCATATATATTAATGCACATAAATATAAAAAAATTTCAAAACAATTTGAATTTCTCGCTTTCTTAATAGAATATAGATATAAGATGTGGTATGAGTGCCAATCAGACAACTCTCCATCCAAGTTACAATTTGTAAAAGTAAACCATTATAGGTCAAAGTACGGCCTTCAACACGGAGCCTTGGCTCACACCGAACAGCAACCTATAAAGGGCCCCAAAAAATGACTAGTGTAAAATCATTCAAACAGGAAAACCAACGTTCTAATCTATATAAATAAACTGTTATCACAGAGATTTGTCTCGCCTTTTTGTAATTTTGATAATGCAAATGTTGAAATTAAAATAGCAATACTTTAACATGTAAGTTATGCAAATATTCAAAATCGATGAACCATGACTGAAGGTACATGGCTAAACAATCTCCATGGAATGAGATGTGCCAATGCTAATACAACTGCATACCAAATACCATTGACTGATTATAAGTCGTTCCCTTAAAACAAACCTAAACACAAACATTAACTTGTAAACTATGTAAAAGTTTCAAAGTCAATGAACCATGATCAGGGGTGGGGCTATATAATCTCCATGGAAACGATACTTGCAAATGCCAATAAATTTGCATACCAAATATCATTGACTTAACATTAGCAGTTCATCTTAAACTGATTTAATCACAAACTAATACATGTAAACTAAGCAAAAGTTTCAAAGTAATTAGACCATGACTGAGGGGGCGGGGCCAAATATTCTCTCCATGGAAATGAGATGTGCTAATGCTTATACAACTGAACACCAATTAACATTGGCCTACCACTAATGGTTCCCCTTGAAATAACCTAATCACAAACTAATACAAGTTAACTTAGCAAAATTTTCAAAGTCTATAGACCATGACTAAGGGGGCAGAGCCAAATAATCTCCATGGAAATGAGATATGCCAATGCTTATACAACTGCAAACCAAATATCATTGACCTACCACTAGTGGTTCCCCATAAATTGACCTAATCAAAAACTAATACATGTAAACTATGAAAAGTTTCAAAGTCAAAAGACCTTGACTGAGGGGCGGGGCCAAATAATCTCCATGGTAATGAGATGTGACAATGCTAATACAACTGCATACCAAATATTATTGACCTACCACTAGTGGTTCACCATGAACTAGACCTAATCACAAACTAATACATTATTGACGCCACCGCCGCCGTCGCCGACGCCGGAAACAGCATACCTATGTCTCGCTTTTTGACTCCGTCAAGGCGAGACAAAAACGAGAAACGAGAAACACTTATGAACCACACCAACAAACGACAACCACTGAACATCAGGTTCCTGACTTAGGACAGGTGCAAACAAATGCAACGGGTGTAAACGTTTTAATAGGCGCCAACCTTCACCCTACCTGAAACAATAGTGTAACATCACAACATAGAAAGACACACTATAAAATATCATTTGAAATGGCTTAACTCAATCAAAAGACATATTAACAAAAACAAGTGAACATACACTGAACGAATAAATTTGATCTATGGCACAATGTAAATACAAAATTGATAAAACAAGGGGGTTAGATGTAAAACAATTTCAAAAAGACAACCATAACCTTGGACAAAATGCCGCCAAATAGAATAACGTACACAGGCAAATAAAAATAATTTTGTTGTAAGGTATACATGGAGTACGAATATTCATTAGTGTTAAGGAAAAGATGCAATTATGTAACATATTTAAAATACGCGAGCGTCTTGCAGATATAACTATATATATATATATATAGTTTTTCAATTTAGACTTTTATTTATATATATATATCATAACGATGCCATGGACTATGATGCAGTCTTTATATCTGTGAATGGTCTGATTCACTTTAAAATGTGAAAAAAATAAATACAAATTCAATCAAAATAAAAGGAAAATTTCCAATATAAATATGTGCAAAAAACCTTTTTCCTGGTAAACTTAATATAATACGAAGGACCTATTCAAACACATATGTTTACAGTTTGTATTATATGCATAAGGAAAGAACTTTTTTGTGTAAGGATTTATATGTTCATTTCAACTAGGCAATACATTACACTCCATAGTGTAAATGAGATATGCAAGACGTAACCGATAATACACATATAAGGGCACATAAACAAAAAACAATAATATAACACGATAATAAGCAAATGATTACAAAAAGTATAATATGATACAAACACATTTTATTGTTATTTGTATTCTGTTATTGTGATTTGTACTTTAAGGGAGTTTGAAGACGTTCATATCATATTAGGAAATCACTGCAAATGTCGCTCATTTGAAAATATTCTATTTCTGACGTCTTTACTCTAAATCCGTTAGATGTGTACCGATTGACACTTTGGTCTGGGAGAACATGATGTATTTATTAGTTGTAATTGGCTTTGAACTAGCTTTCAGTTATTGCAGATACTTTTAAATCGTTGTTTTGTGTCTATTGTTTTTACTTTGTACAGTTTGTTCTTATGTTGTGCTGTTACACCACTGTTCCAAGCTAGGGGAGTTTTAAGCGCTCACAAGCATGTTTAACCCCGCCACTTTCTGTATATGCTTGATCTAAGTCAGGAGCCTGTAGTTCAGTGGTTGTCTTTCTTAATGTCCGACATATTTGTTTTTCGTAAATAAGTTAGTTTTACCGATTGAATTGTTTCACATTATGTTTTCACGTCGGGGCCTTTAATAGCCGATTATACGGTATGGATTTTCAATTGTTGAAGGCCGTACGGTGACCTTTAATTGCTTATATCCACTTTTTCGAACTCTGGGGGATAGTTGTCTCAGTGGAAATCATACCACGTTATTTTTATACAGTCAGTAAAATGCAATTGTATATCAACTGTAACTGGGCATAACATACTAGTTGGTGTTGGCGTTGTAGTCCTTTTTGTAGTAGTCGTTGTCGTCGGTGGATGAGTTCTTTTGGTAGGTGTCGTTGTTGGTGGTGGATGAGTTCTTTTGGTAGTTGTCGTTGTTGGTGGTGGATGAGTTCTTTTGATAGTTGTCGTTGTTGGTGGTGGATGTGTCACTTTTTTAGTTGTCGGTGGTGGATGTGTCACTTTTTTAGTTGTCGGTGGTGGATGTGTCACTTTTGTAGTTTTCGGCGGTGGATGTGTCACTCTTGTAGTTGTCGGCGGTGGATGTGTCACTTTTGTAGTTGTCGGCGGTGGATGTGTCACTTTTGTAGTTGTCGGCGGTGGATGTGTTACTTTTTTAGTTGTCGGTGGTGGATGTGTTACTTTAGTAGAAGTGATTGTCGTCGGTGGATGAGTTCTTTGAGTAGTTGTTGTTGTCGTCGCTGGTGTTGTTGGTGGATTTGTTCTCTTTGTAGTTGTCGTTGTCACAGTAGTTGTTATGGGACTAGTCTGCATAGTTTGTTGCGTACTAGGATGTCCTGTTGGAAAGAATAATACACATCTCTAAACCATATCAAAATTGTCAAATTATCAGTAAATGCATGCACCTTGCGGAATATGAATGACCACGCCGCTATATGACACAATATAAGTAGATTACGTACATTTATTAATTTTGTGTTATTTACTTTTACAGTCGAATTTTTCTCATTAGGACCGTTTGAGAGGATTTTCCTAAACTAAACAGTATATATATGTTTGAGGGGCACATGCACGATTGACTTGTTCATTCATTTTTTTCTCTGCATAAGCATATATTTTGCCGAAAAAAATTCCAAAGAAAGATAATAAATTGATCTTTTTAAAAAATTAATTTGCATCTCTGCCCCCGGAGACAGTTTTTTTGGGAAAAAATCCCAAAAATTGGCAATAGTTTCATCAAAAAGAGAAAGTCGAGTACACCTTTTTATGTTCAGGCGTGTTTGAAATGACTATTTTGTCTTGAAAACGTATAAAAGAAAAATATTTGATACATCATCTCGCTTCAGATTCTATTATTTTTATATATTTAGGCTCTAGGTTGATATTATAACATTAAAACTTTACAGTACTAGAAAATAAAATATATGGGTCAAGTGAAATACCCTTTCTAATGAGTCATAACAACAGAGTAGGTGTGTTCGAATAACAATTTTTTACTAAAAGTTCTTGACGACACACTTTTCAATTGGATCTTAAAAATGCATAAATTCAAAAAAACTTCATTTTTTTTTTGTGTGTGTTATCTAGGGTAATTAGTCTTCAACCTCTGAAATTTTTTTTCTGCCCTTCCACGAAATATTTAATTAGATTTTTTTTAAATATTTTTGAAAATTCCCCCTGACAACCGATCAGACAATAGTTTTAAGTTGATCAAATGCATAAAATAACATTAAATGATGCTCAATAGCTAGTAGATACATTTGTCTTTTAAAATACAACGGTATATAAGGATCGTAATGATGCTATATGGATAAATTAATCGGTTTTCAAGAGCTAACTTGACAGCACGTCATCACTACAATGGCTTCCATTTTTACAATTATAAAAATTAGGTGGCGTAATGGGGAGATAATTTTGACATAGGCTAAACCTACCAGGGGCGGATCCAGTCATATTTAAAAGGGGGGTTCCCAACCCGGGAGAAAGGGGGTTACCAACCCAGGATAAAGGGAGTCCAACTATATGTCCCCATTCAAATGCATTGATCGTCAAGAAAAAGGGGGGGGTTCCAACCCCCGGAACTCCTCCCCCCCCCCCCCTGAATCCGCCACTGCCTACTATGTTTTTGTTCCTTTTTTCATGAATATGCATGAAATATTCGCTACTTAACGCTTGGACACCATTAACACATACTTCATATTTAGACATAATTTACCAGTTATTCAATTCAAAATTGTCTCATTGTTATTGTCAACTATTATATTTGGGCCTTAATTCGTTGTAAATACCACGTGAGTGTATTTCAAAATTCGCACAAATTTTATCTTCTTTTTATGGTGTTTCACAAGTTGTTTTTCATTTTTTTCATTTTGGAAGTTTCGAATAAGCTTAAGCATTCACACTATATTTGAGGGTCTGGATGGGGTTCACAGAATAGAGAACAATGGACAAAAAGTACAGAATAAAAGGCAAACAATATAAAAAAAATAGAGAAAAATAGGTCAACAAAATAAAGAAAAGAGAATAATGGTCAAAATATATAAAGAAAAGAGAATAATGGGCAAAATATATGAAGAAAAGAAAATAATGGGCAAAATATATAAGGAATAAAGAAAAAATGGCTAAAAATAAAGAAGAAATAAATGAAGGACCACCATCCAAACCCTCATATTTGAATTTGAATTTTACAGTTCTGAAGCCTTACCATTAACACAGTCTTTCTTGTTGCAGAAATTGTTATCACAACAATAATAACAGACATCAATGTTATCAAACCCTCCTATGACTTGTTTCTTGGCCTTTGGATGACCAGCTATGATTGACTCTTTCCCCATCATCTTTTTACACATCTATAAAGTTACAGTTTTCAAATTTCATATTTCAATCTTTTAAAGCTATCATATTTTGTACAGTATAGTATTATTAAAAAAACATGTACTTTAAAAGCAAGCAACATCACACTTTGATTTACAAGATTTGGATTATTGTACCTTTGATTCTTATGTAGCATTTAACATATGAAATACATATTTTAATATCGGAAACACCTAAAAGGTAAAACAGATTTACAAAAACTGAACATAATGATCTGAATTCGGTTCCAATGCTCTGGATGCGTGTTTGTGTGTAAAGTTCACCAAATAGAAATGTTTGCTCGACAAAAAATGTTTTGCATCTCACATTGTTTGTGAGCATGACATCTCACATTTTTTGTGAGCATGAGATTCCAAAGATTGTTTGTGAGCATGAGATTCCAAAGATTGTTTGTGAGCATGAGATTCCAAAGATTGTTTGTAAGCATGAGATTCCAAAGATTGTTTGTGAGAAGAGATTGGGATTGGCGAGAGCTGCAGCAAGTTTCTGTAAGATGAAAATCTTTTACATGTATCCCTCTGACAGGCTAATATCTAAAATAAAGTAAGGAAATTTCAGTCTTTCTCATCAGTGACAATACCGAACAATATCTTCTAATGATAATATAGAAACAAAACTTGTATTGAGAATACGAAGTTTAACTATAATACCTCCTTGTGTTGGCATCCCATCTCGTATCGATCGGAAAACATGTCATTGATGAAATGTTTGGTATAGCATTCCTAGAAAACATAGAAACATTGTAAAGATTGATAGGAATGAGAGGCAAATGAAAATCATGTCATATCACATTACTAAGTACCCAAGCGTCTGTCAAAAAATAAACACGATGTGCATTTTCGAGCAGGTGTAGAAAGAAAAGTTACTCAGATTCATGACTTCTTTACACTAAATCCGTTGTATGTGTACTGAAAATCATGGTTTATTTTTTAGGATTTTATTTTTTTTTGCTTTGACTAGCTTTCAGTCACTGCGAGTACTCTTATATCGGTATTAGTGTTTTTTGTCTTTTGTTATTTTTTTTGTTTTTTGTTTTTTTGTTTTTGTTTGAGCATCCCATTTTAAAGATTTTTTAAAGATAGCTCTTATGTTGTTACGTTTCGCCACTATCCATGGTTAGGGGTTCACAAACATGTTTAACCCCGCCACATTATATATGTGCCTGTCCTGAGTCAGAAACCTGTAATTCACTGGTCGCCATATTTTTTTTAACTTATTGTTTTTAGCAAAAATGAAGCAGTCGGTTTTCTCTTTTAATTTGTTTTATATGTTGTCATGTAGCGGGTTTTATAGCTTATAAATTTCACTTCTGTACTCCTACTGTGAACAAAAAATTTATTATTTAAAAAAAAAAATGTTTACTTAAGTACTCTTAACAACAAAATTATTATATTCATTTTTACCTGTGTAAGTTATTTTATTTAACGCCGCTTTGTCCCAGGTGTTAGAGTCGTCCTTTTGACACTGTTCCTACCTTTTTTTTTATATTAATATTGTATTTATATTGTGTCATAGATAAAACTTATTCGTTCAGCGTATGCTTACTTGTTTTTGTTTAAATGTCTTTTTGATCGAGTTCAGACATTTCAATTGATATTTTATAGCGTGTCTTTTTATGTTGTAATGTTACACTACTGTATCAGGTTAGGGTGAAGGTTGGCCCCTGTTAAAACGTTTAAACCCGCTGCATTTTTATGCACCTGTCCTAAGTCAGGAGCCTGTTGTTCAGTGGTTGTCATTTGTTGGTGTGGTTCATAAGTGTTTCTCGTTTCTCGTTTTTTATATAGATTAGACTGTTGGTTTTCCTGTTTGAATTGTTTTACACTAGTCATTTTGGGGCCCTTTATAGCTTGCTGTTCGGTGTGAGCCAATGCTTCGTGTTGAAGGTCGTACTTTGACCTATAATTGTTCACTTTTTATACATTGTGACCTGGATGAAGAGTTGTCTCATGGCACTCATACCACATCTTCTTATTTATAATATAAAGAATGTATTTGGCTCATGATTTAAGGTCGTATAGTGATACAAGGTTGTTTATATCCTCATCCTTTGTTTTCTTTGGATAGTTGTCTCATTGGCACTCCGCCACCTCTTCTTCTACATTTACCTTTGCGATGCATTGTATGTCAATAAAGGATCTGGGGTAATAGAATATATTAAACAGACCTAGTTGCTAGAAATATACAGTAATGGAAAAGGTTATTGATTTTAACATTTGCATCTGTAAGTTACAGTCATAGTCCGATTATAGTATTATAACAGACATTCAGACAAGTAGAATCTGTGGATCATACAAAACAAAAATGCGATATTTGAGGTAAAAATGAATACCTTATTTATTTCAGAGACGCAAGATTTTATGAAGACCTCATCTATGTCGCAGACGCAAGCTTTTTATAAATACCTTATCTATGTGGCATACGGCAGTTTTTAATGAATACCTTATCTATGTCGCAGACGCTAGCTTTGAATGAATACCTTATCTATGTCGCAGACGCAAGCTTTTAATGAATACCTTATCTATGTCGCATACGGCAGTTTTTAATGAATACCTTATCTATGTCGCAGTCGCTAGCTTTTAATGAATACCTTATCTATGTCGCAGACGCTAGCTTTTAATGAATACCTTATCTATGTCACAGATGCAAGCTTTTAATGAATACCTCATCTATGTTGCATACGGCAGCTTTTAATGACTACCTTAAATATGTCGCATAGTGGCAGCTTCTAATGAATACCTTATCTATGTCGCATACGGCAGCTTTTAATGAATACCTTCCTTATCTATGTCGCATTAGGCAGCTTATAATGAAAACCTTATCTATGTCGCATACGGCAGCTTTTAATGAATACCTTATCTATGTCGCAGACGGCAGCTTATGAAGAAAACCTTATCTATGTCGCAGACGGCAGCTTTTAATGAATACCTTATCTATGTCGCATACGGCAGCTTTTAATGAATAACTTATTTATGTCGCAAACGGCAGTTTTTAATGAATACCTTATATATGTCACAGACGCTAGTTTTTAAAGAATACCTTATCTATGTCACAGACGCTAGTTTTTAATGGATACCTTATCTATGTCGCATACGGCAGCTTTTAATGAATACCTTATCTATGTCGCATACGGCAGCTTTAAATGAATACCTTATCTATGTCGCATACGGCAGCTTTAAATGGATACCTTTTCTATGTCGCATACAACAGCTTTTAATGAATACCTTATCTTTGTCGCATATGCTATCTTTTAATGAATACATTATCTATGTCGCAGACGCTAGTTTTTAATGAATACCTTATCTATGTCGCAGACGGCAGCTTTTAATGAATACCTTATCTATCTCCCATACGGCAGCTTTTAATGAATACCTTATCTATGTCGCATACGGCAGCTTTTAATGAATACCTTACCTATGTCGCAGACGGCAGCTTTTAATTAATACCTTATCTATGTCGCAGACGGCAGCTATGTCACATTTACTGGGATGTTCTACGTCAATACAACTGTAACAAATCGTCCGATTCAACTTATCTGAGAATAAAAAAATTATTCATATTTAAATTAGAGTTAGTTATTTCTTTTAACACTATACGTAAATAAAGAAGTTTTCATCGTAATGGGCATCATTATAAAACTCAAATTTGAGGGTGTAAACGAAACATGGAAGCTATAGACAGTATATATTGCTTTAAAACAATGATGTATGCTAAATTATGATTTTACCCATGGCAAGTAAAACAAGAAAAACAAATTTTTAAAAATGCAACGAAATACATATAAATGTATAGCCACTTCAAAACTGTGAGAAGAGCTCAGACAGCCAAACCGACCAGAATTAGAGGCTCTAATGGAAAATATGATGTATAAATATGTTAGTTTCATATTCGATGTAAAATAATTACCTGAAATGAAGACTTTACATCACATTAAAATTTATTCCCAAGAATACATTACTTTTGTTGGGTTCTGAGATTATGCAGATATTTTGTATCATTTAAATAACTGAAGTGTTCTAGTTCTTTTTCAAGCTTTAGTAAATAACCAATGTGGTTCCATCTTTCTGAGTTACGGTATTTTTGACAAATGTAAAGAAGCCAATCTTGCATATTTATTCTTTAGTTACTTACAACATTCGTATTAATTAGTACAATTTGATCTAAAACTCGCTTTATAATGTATAGATGCCAAACGCGTATCCATATTTAAATGGTTTACTAACTCTGGACTACCCACATCCATATCGTGTACAGCATTTAATATACAACATTCCTGACAAATGCATAAATGGCGTACTTAATATGGTCCCCACATCCATATCGGTTACAACGGTTAGAGTTACAACATTCCTGACAGATGTATAAATGGCGTACTTACTCTGGTCCCCACATCCACATCGGTTACAACGGTTAGAGTTACAACATTCCTGACAGATGTATAAATGACGTACTTACTCTGGTCCCCACATCCATATCGGTTTCAACATTCCTGACAGATGTATAAATGGCGTACTTACTATGGTCCCCACATCCATATCGGTTACAACGGTTAGAGTTACAACATTCCTGACAGATGTATAAATGGCGTACTTACTCTGGTCCCCACATCCATATCGGTTACAGCGGTTAGAGTTACAACATTCCTGACAGATGTATAAATGGCGTACTTACTCTGGTCCCCACATCCATATCGGTTACAGCGGTTAGAGTTACAACATTCCTGACAGATGTATAAATGGCGTACTTACTCTGGTCCCCACATCTATATCGTGTACAACATTTGAGTTACAACATTCCTGACAGATGTATAAATGACGTACTTACTCTGGTCCCCACATCCATATCGGTTACAACATTCCTGACAGATGTATAAATGGCGTACTTACTCTGGTCCCCACATCCATATCGGTTACAACGGTTTGAGTTACAACATTCCTGACAGATGTATAAATTTTCATCTTGCCGTTTAACTTCTCTCTTCCCGAACTTATTTAAAGCATCACACACCTTGCAATAAGAATAGTATTAGGAAATAAGATAGAAAATCTTGTCTTTGATGGATAAACTTTTATATATGATGATTACTTAAATTATAGTACAAATTGCCTATATCGCGACGAGATCAATATAAGTTATAACACTTAAAAATTTACATGCAAGAGAAATGATCTTTTTAAAGAAACTATAATTGTGAAATATCAATATTTAAAGAGAACAGTTTTAATCTCATCTCGATCTGTACATATAACAGCGAAATATAAGCCCGGCTTTTACTTTAGAATGTAAAAAAAATTGCTCTACAAATCAGTTCGATTTACTGCTGGTTTCACTATGTCTATTTTTTATGCCCCATTTATAGGCATAATGTTTTTCGGTCTGTGCGTCCGTTCGTTCGTTCGTTCGTTCGTTCGTTCGTCCGTCCGTCCGTCCGTCCGTCTGTCCCACTTCAGGTTAAAGTTTTTGGTTAAAGCTTTTGGTTAAAGTTTTTGGTCAAGGTAGTTTTTGATGAAGTTGACGTCCAATCAACTTGAAACTTAGTACACATGTTCCCTATGATATGATCTTTTTAATTTTAATGCCAAATTAGAGTTTTGACCCCAATTTCACGGTCAACTGAACATAGAAAATGATAGTGCGAGTGGGGTATCCGTGTACTATGGACACATTCTTGATTCTTTATCTCTTACTTTTTTCAAACTTAGTATAGATTTTCATAAAAAAAAACTATTTCTTCTCTCGATTTTCTGTGAAAAATGTAAATATCAATTCGAATAAAAAAAAAATAGTTCGATACAGTTGAAATGCGCTACTCAGCAAGACGCTTAAAAGAGTTTGGCATCCAATCTGCAATCCTCGGGTGAATCCGCTTTCTAGTAGATTGGGGAACGGACTCGGTCGAGTTTAGACGAGTGGTCTGTCATACTTCCGAACAATAAGTTAAAACTTACCCTATTTGATGCACATCCAAGATCATAGAACACGTGACCTTGTGGAGTAATGTAGAAATCTGTGAAACATTGCTGAAAGTGTATTATACATGATGTAGCGATTAGAGAAACGCTGATATTGAAAAACGTTACCCGTGTAGAGTGTTTGATCATATTTAACTGTTTTTTTCTGCCCTAGACTAATTTTTATAATGTATTTGACAGAAGATTTACAGAAACTTACTTTTAAATGATCATAAAAATACACCAAAGGATAGCATAAATTTAAGAAGTTTTTTTTTTGGTGAATTTCAAATAAATTGCAAGTTCCCTCACAAAAAAAGAATACATAATGACTGCTTTCTACATAGTTTAATGTGTATCCATATATATTTAATGTAAATATGAAATATGTTGCATCAAATATGTCACTTTCTTTACAAAAGCATTAATTTGTTGTAGTTTTTTCATGTCCTACAGTAAACAGTAAGTTATTAGTATTATTTACTAAAAGTGTTCACTACAAATGAAATACATGTATATACACAATCTAGCACATCGTGTACATAAACTAAAAGTTACCTCATGTTGAGCACATGTAACCACGTTTTCACAATCATGAGGTTCTGCTACACGGCTACATGACATACATTCTACAGCACCTATGAAAAGTGGATATATGTTGAGTAACTATATATAGACAGCTTAATTTTCATTTGCTTTAATAGCAAACTTTGGGTATATTACGCATTGATTCCGAAGATTTTTTTTAGCTTTTTCTTATGAAGAACATACATTTCTTATTTAGTCGAATGTGCGTATGTTTGCAATGACGACTCTGGTCGTCATAAGCGTGACATTTTAAAATGACTCAAAGAACAACAGAGATACAGATTTATTGTGGAATTTTGATACTAAATACGGGAAGTAAATTACAAAAAAGATATCTCACAGCCACCTATGAATTGTTCAACATTTTGTCATGCCGTGGCTTTAATAGCTTACTATACCGTATGGGTTGTTTGCTCATTTTTTAAGACAGTACGATGACCTATAGTTGTAAACGTCTACGTCATTTTGGTCTCTGGTGAAGAGTTGTCTCGTTGCCATTAAAACCACATATAATTTTATATTAAAGATGTCATGGTAAAATCATTGAATTTTGTATTCTTTTCTTTACGATTAATGTTGATTTGCTTACAGTTTTAAACACGATAAAGATTTTGTTATTGTATCAAAACTCAAATTTCCTCGAGCAAATTTCTGCACTGTTAATGAAATAGATGAATAAAATCTACTTGGATATACAGCTGCTTGTAACTTGTGTGATGGGATAATACGTATATCAGTAGTTTAATCATTTTAAGACTGTTTTCTGTAAATTCTAAGTTTCTGTAAAGCAGTAGTATGCAGTATTGTATAACGTATGTTAGTAAAAATTTATAAATGTGATTTGTCTAAAGAGCTTTTCTAGATCTGCTATCATCAAGAACGCTCAAAACCAAACATTTGAAAGCTAAGCATGTATAAATGTATACATGTATAATGTATAAATGTATAAATGTATAAATGTATAAATACTTATGGAACTATAGGACCAGAATGGAAAGAAAAAAATATCCAAAACCATCTAAGTTCAACATAGCTTGAAGAAGTCTGAACCTTAGTTTCTTAATAATTTTTAAATTTACCACTGGTAAATTAAAAATATATGAGTTAATGATATGTAATGCATGCAATTTCTTTTTATGAGCTGATTTTCACTGTATGCTATCATATGCATGATTTTGTTATACAGCTGAAAGAAATTAAGAATTGTTTTTGAATGTGTTCGTGGGGAGTACTAAAAGAAATAAATTTAGCTACGCCACATGTGCATTATCGATATCCCAAGTCAGAACATCTTCGGTAGTATATAGTTTCATTTTTTGTTTTGTCTAGCTCGGGGCCATTGAGATCTTGACACTTGTCTAGAATCGGGTTCATACTTGACATATGTCTAGACTAGGTGACATTTATAGTTTGACACTTGTCTATACTGGGGCCATACTTGACACTTGTCACGACAAAGGACATTTATAGTTTGATACTTGTCTAGACTCGGGGTCATAATTTACACTTCTCTAAACAAGAGGAAATTTAGAGTTATACACTTGTCTATTCTAGGGGTCATCTGGAGCTATATACTTATCTATTCTAGGGGTCATTTGGAGCCATACACTGGTCTATTCTAGGTGCCATTTGGACCTATACACTGTCTATTCTAGGTGTCATTTGGAGCTATACGCTGTCTATTCTAGGGGTCATTTGCAGCTATACACTTGTCTATTCTAGGGGTCATTTAGAGCTATACACTTGTCTATTCTAGGGGTCATTTAGAGCTATACACTTGTCTATTCTAAGAGTCATTTAGAGCTATACACTTGTCTATTCTAGGCGTCATTTAGAGCTTGATCCTTGTTTATACTAGGGGAAATTAGATCTTGACACTTGTCTAGAATCTGGGTCATTGAGAGCTGGACACTTGTCTAGACTCGGGATCATTCAGAGTTTGACACTTGTCTAGACTCTGGACCATTCAGAGCTTTACACTTGGCTAGACTCTGGACCATTCAGAGCTTTACACTTGGCTGGACTCGGTGTCATTTAGAGCTTGACACTTGTCTAGAATCTGGGTCATTGAGAGCTTGACACTTGTCTAGACTCTGGATCATTCAGAGCTTTACACTTGGCTAGACTCTGGACCATTCAGAGCTTTACACTTGGCTAGACTCGGTGTCATTTAGAGCTTGACACATGTCTAGAATCTGGGTCATTGAGAGCTTGACACTTGTCTAGACTCTGGGCCATTCAGAGCTTTACACTTGGCTAGACTCGGTGTCATTTAGAGCTTGACACTTGTCTAGAATCTGGGTCATTGAAAGCTTGACACTTGTCTAGACTCTGGGCCATTCAGAGCCTTACACTTGTCCATTGTTGAAAACCATATGTTGAACACTAGTGGTTTTATTGTATTTAGAATGGCTTTCTCTCTGACGTATACTCCACCTCACGGTTTTTTCATAATTAAAAAAAATGTTTCTTACCTTCTGCACACTGTATACATATAAACACTAAAAAATAAATGTAGTTACTGACTCTTAAAGTATAAATCAAGAATATGCATTGCAAAACAGTCCTGTTCAACAGTCATTTTCTTTATTTTCATACATGTATATTGATTTGTAGGGATTTGTAATTTTCATTTTTTAAATGACGCAAACTACTAGTATTATTTTAGCCATAACAGATAATACCAGAGAGATTTTCATAGATTCTGTGAACTGTTAACGGCCATTTCCATTTTTTTTAAATTTTAGGTATAATGTATTATACTTTGAATAAGTTTATGGTGTGGTATTTACTCATTGGCTAATATTAATCATATTTTTTACAACAGTGTAAATCTTCCAGCTAACCCTTATGTAAAAGACATACTGATTGTTGATATCCTAAATAGTATGGCGTGACGGCATTTGGGAATATATCCCTTATCCTGTTGAACAGTTTATCAATTTAGTGGTAAGGAAAGGAGCATTACCAGTATAGGAAACCATATTCTTATTTCGTCTTCTTGAGGCATCAGTTTGGGATAAATGTGAGAACAGTCTTCACCCAAGAACATATTTGAACAACAATATCATTTAAAAAGACATCTTCTATTCAAATACTTTTCTAGATAAGGTTTATACTCATTTCTATAAAAAGTTTTCAAAATAAAAGCAATTTGGCAAATTTTACTGTTTAACTTGATTAAGAAACTTGCATCTTTCGGTTATCCGAATGGTGTCATTTTCTACCTTCGTTACAATTTATGATATTTGTTAATTGATGGGGAAATGCAATTTCGTACTTTTCCTTTTTTACAGAAGAATCAGTTTACAGGTAATCGTTTGTGACATAAAGCTTTTATCGTTTTTTTTGTTTTTTTTTTATAGTTGATAATTCCTGTCTTCAAGTTCAAACTATAGGAGATCGAGTTACAAGTAGCAAGTTGTTCGGTAACTAGATATATCTGACTATTTCACATACGTTACAATGTTCCTTAAATGGTCCCATATTTGCAGCACAAGAGCTATACGACAGATGCTGTTATTGTCATTTAATATGCTGTAAAAATCACTGTCAATGAACTGATCAAAATACTGTGTCCTTCAAACCATTATGTGATTAAATATTATATATATGACTTGGATATGCTCGTCTACATCTCGAACAACATTGATCTAAACTCTATATAATAAGTATCTTCAGGAAATATTTTATATATACAAAAGGAATGTAAAACTTACGCCAAATGAAAATGTACAGATTGGCCATAATATTATGCAGTCAGCAGATAAGCTCCAAGTTGCATGTAAGGAAGCGAACCAAGTTGTAAATCTTTTGACCTCATTCCATAAGATAACAATAATGGCACTATATTAAGTACAGTATATAGATAATACGACGCATGCACTGGTTGCTGTACGAAATACACCAAAGGAACCATACATGCATCTCATAAATCTATCAACATATGATATTACATAAAAAAATATATATTTGTCATGCTATCAATATATATACTCTACATGGATTATTTTTCTTCTCACGCAAAAACTTCTCAACAAGACCATGGTTTGACGAATCGTGTCAGACATTGTCAGTGTCATAAAGGTCAAATGCAAGTCATGCATCTAACTAAAAATGTTCGTCTTAAATATAAGTTTTATTCGTCGTGTAATCATGATAATCAGTTTGGGGTTAATACATAACATGACTATCTATCATGTTTTATGATATACTATCTTGTAAACAGTCAGAGTGTAGGTGCGCCAATATTGAAAACTGTTTTAGTAAACACTGCTTACTTTTTCTGAGCATCCGATTTTACACCCTGTTTGTGTAGGTTCCTGAGGACAGCTGACTCACAAACTTTTAATTACATAAATTAAAGTCCTTCGGACTTGTATTCAGTTGTGAGTTAATCTGCTAGTTTATACAACAATTACTTCTAGAAAAATGTGTTTAATTCTAAAAAAAAACCAACATAAACATTCCCAGCTTAACATGCAGTAATGTGGTACGTTACATAGTATCAATACCAGGAATGTGACCAAACTTGTACTTGTGTCAGATAACAGTAAATATCTGTATTTATTTACAGAATTAAAAAAGTCTCTAGTAAGTTAAGAAAAGTGAGTCCTGTACAAATCAACCAATTCATGATTGCAACCGTAGAACTTACAAAAAAAAAGTAAAATAACAAAAATACCGAACTCGAAGGAAAATTCAAATAGGAAAGTCCCTTATAAAATGGCAAAATCAAAAGCTCAAACACATCAAACGAATGGAAAACAACTGTCATATTCCTGACTTGGTACAGGCAAATAGATAATTTTAGTCGTTCTTCTGTGTGAATAAAAATGCCATAATAAGAACTTGCTTTGGTAAAATGTATAAGTTAAGATACGTAAACATCATAGACTCGAGCAGAGAATGTGTTACCATTAGACTATACGAACACTAAAAAATCGTTCTTACGTCGTAAATCATAGTTACTAGTTGTCCAATAGGACAAATATCGTAAATCCTAGTTTTTAGTTGTCCAATAAGACAAATGTCTTAAATCCTAGT